TTCGCGGGACAAAGGGGGGTATGCGGGATGGAGGCGCGGGGAGAACAAGGGAGGGAGGGGAGCAACGGGATGGGGCGACGACGCAGGCAGAGGCAGGAACAGGGGACGGGGAGGAACTGAGTAGGGAGGGCTAGACGGAGGAAGAAGAGCGGAGAATGGAGAACGGGAGTGAAATGCGTAGAAGCAGAAACCGATGTGGCGAAGGAGAAGGGGGTCTGGGGTATGAACGAAGGAGGGTAGGTACGGGAGGAGGGGAGTATAAAGGCGGAGAGCGGGGCAGCACGAAGAGAGGACCACGCGTATCAGGCAAGGTGATATCAAGGATGAGCGACGGACGTCGAATGAAAAGAAATCAAGTGCAAAGGGAACGGAGCAAAGGAAAGGGTACGTGGATTCGAGCGTAACCAAAAATGGAGCGTAGACCAAAGAAAGTGGGGGTGGAGAGCCTGGGATATCATAGGGGGTAAGGGGAGCGCGGAGGGGAGGACGCGGAGGACGCGGAGGACAGATCGGGTGCAGAAGGAGGATGGGGAGGACGGAGGGACAAACACGTGCACTCGTACGCGTGGAAGAGGGAAGAAAAAGAACGGATAGAAGATGTCGGACGAATGGAAGGATGTAGCAAGAACAGACGGATAGCTGTCTCTAGGATGGAGGGAGGGAGAGGAGGGCGCAGGGACGTCCAACCGCAGGAGGAGGACAGCGCGAGGACTGTGGGAGTGGATAGGGATAAGGATATAGGGACCGGAGAGCACGGCATGGAGAACGAATGGAAGTAGAGATGGCACGAAGTGAAGAGAAGAAAACGGGGGCAAGGGAACGAATGGAACGGAGATGAATGGCAAGGGAACGCATGAAAGAAACGAGTGCCAAATTGGAGTGTCGACGAAAATGAAGAAATGGGCGCGTAGACGAAAGAAATGGGCGCGCCATCCTTTGGGGAGGGGAGGCAGAGCGCGGAGGGCGGAGAGTGGTATAAGGAGAGGGTGTGATGGAAGTATAAGGAGGGGGATCATTGCGGGGAGGGGCGCGGAGGTAGAGACGATGCGATGGAGGAGCGGTACAAGGAGGACGGAGTGCGGAGGGCGGGTGCGAGTGGGAAGGGGCGAAGGACGATGACGTGCAGCACGTGGGCAGGGCATGAACGGATGGATAAAGGACAGGATAGTAGTAAAAAAGCGGTGCAGGATGGGGTGGGATGGGATCGGGCGGTGGGAGATCGTGGTGGGATGGCGGAGGGAGGAGCATAACACAAGGGATGTGGAGAGGTAGGGATATAGGGACGAGAGCGCGGGACGAAAAGGATGGAGGATGAAAGAAAGCAGGAGAAGATCGCGGGATGCAGACACGAAGAGAAGACGGCCCCTCGGCGCGCGGCGGGAAAGGCGATAGCATCAACGAGAAGCGGGGGCGGGGGAGGAATGGAAACGAATGGAAAAGGAATATATGATAGAAGATGCGTGAATTCGAGCGCAGACAAAAAAAAGTGGGAGCGCAGAGGAGAAATGGGGGGAGCGGGGTCATTTTTTGAGGGAGGAAGGGACAAGGGCGGCACAAGGAGGAAGTAACGGGGAGGGAGAGGAAGAACGGAGAGTGTAAGAAGAGGATGTGGAGGCGGTGATGGAGGCGCGCGTCGGGAAAAGGGAAGGCGATGGCGTGAAGGAAGGGGAAGGGCGATAAACGGGGCGAGGGAGGGGATCGACAGGACCAAAAGGCAACGAATAGAAAGGAAACGAAGGAATGAAAGGAGATGGGTAAGTGGATTCGGAGGTAGACTAGACCAAAAGAAACGAAAACTAGGCCGCAGACGAAAAAAGGGGAAGGGTAGATGTCTTCATAGGGAGCGCAGGACGGGGGGGAGGATGAAGGTATGGGGGGACGGGGGCGGACGATGTGGGAGATGCGGAGGTCGGGAGGAGGGCGGATGTGAGAGAGGGTCGAGCAGAGCGTGGGGCGGGGGATGAACGGGTAAAGAACGATGCAATGCGAGGTAAGAAGTATATGGGATGGGTGAGATGGCGCGCGCTGGTAAGGACGGTACCGCGGGCGACGCGGGGGGACGCGGGGGGGCGCGGGGGGACGCGGGTGGAGCAGAAACGAGGCGGCAAGGAGAGAAAGGGAGCAAGAGACGGGGCATGGGTCCGGAGTGTGTGGTACATGGAGAGTAGGTGGTGGGGAGTCAAAGGGATGTGTACGGATGATGAAGATGGGGTGGCAAGGGCGGTCTGACACAAATGAATGGAGGGAGGAGGAAGAAATGACCTACCCGACACAACCTCGCGGCCCAGTGACGGCGCGCCCTCGAGCGGCTCCTCCGCGTTCGCGGTCCCGCTGCCAGTCCGCTCCTTCCTTGGTGCCTTCCGCGCGGCGACCCCGACGCCCCCGCCCGCGCGCCCTCCTCCTCCTGTACCCCCAACCCCGCGCCCTCCCCCACCCACCCCGCGCCCCCCGCTCCCGCTCCCCACGCCCACCCCCAGCCCCAAATCCAGCCCCGCGGCGACCACCTCGTCCGCCTCCCCCCGATACCGCGGCACGCCATCGATCCCGACCTCCGTCTTGGGCGGGCAGCGGAAGTTGTCGCGCGCGAGGAGCGCGGGCGCGATGTCGAGGCTCGCGAGCTCGGGGAGGGAGGACGGCGCGCGGAGGCGGCCGGACTCGACGTCGGCGATCTTGTAGTATGAGATGAGGTGTTGCGGGACGCCGTCGAGGGTTAGGGAGAAGGTCTAGGTGTGGGTGAGTTGGTGTATGAGAGACTGGAGGAAAGAGAAGTAAAAACCTTCTTCATGAGTCCATCGGCCTTGAACTTGTAGCTGTTCGTGAGGCTCCCGACGAGCGTGCGCTCCCTCTGCCGATCCACGCCCACACCCTCCGTCCGCGGGCGGCTCAAGCTCTCGCCCTTCCCCCCACCTCCTTCCCTTCCCTCCCCCTCCCCCTCCTCCCCATCCTCCTCCACACCCGCCCCGCGCCGCTTCCCATGCCCCGCCCCCCTCTTCTCCGTCTCCCGATACAGCAAAAAGTTCCCCAATATCCTGCTCGGCGACCAAAAGAACCCATCCGTCCACCGCCTTATCCCGCTCTCGTCCTCGTCAAAGACGAAGACGCTGCCGGAGGCGATCATGCGGCGCTCGGTGTCCACGAGGCGGCGCGTGACGCGCGGGATGAGGCCGCGGCGCGCGGCCTCGAGGATGAGGAGCGCGTCGCCCGTGGTCTCGATCCACCCGGACCACGGCGGGTCCGTCCACGCGGGTGCGCCCGGCATCCGAGGAGTCCGAGTCCGCGAGCGAGTACGAGTCCGTGTGCAGTGCAAGAGCGTGACGGCGTGTCGAGACCGCTGCTATGGCGGCGCACTGCTTTCGGCTCTACGTCCTGCCCTATTCTTGTCTATTCTTCCCCTCCTTGCTTCAGCTTCCCAGAGTCTGGCCTTCAGTCTGCTTGTCCGTGCGCTCGTCGACGCGGCCGTCGCAGAAGGAAAGTGGGCGTGCTTAGTCAGCCCGCACTTGCCTTTCTGCAATGCTCTCTTCGTTCAAAGTCACTCGCTAACAATATTAATCTACCCATACATATCCTCATGAATTTATCCACTCTCGCTCCCTGCTTATCTCGGCGTGCCTTAATGATCAGCGCTCCCGTAAACTTACTACATATCTCCGTCCGATCTGTCCTTCAAGTCAGTGGCGCGATCTCCTCTCATCCAATGATCCATTCATCAAGCCCCGTCGCCACCAAGTCGCCACCTCCATTCTCATTTGATTTTAAGGCCTCTCGTCTCGTTCTCAATGCCAATGTAAAGCCCTGCAAGAGATGTAAGGCAAGATCTAATGGTGAAGCAGTATCGCGTCTCCTAATTGTCAGTATCATCGTCACATTCGCTGTGGAGAAGTCCCTGGTTCGAACCCAGGCTGGGTCATGACTCGGATAGAAGGGTTTTCCTTTTCAATTCTATTCCTTTTACACCTCCCAGCACTTACCCCGAATAGCCCTGAATCAGCTTGTCGCATAAACTTGCTATCTCCGTCCGATCTCTACTGGTCGCTCATCTATTCATTTCCACAGTCAAGCCCTCCATTCTCATTTAATTTTAAAGCAAACCTCTCGTCTCGTTCTCAATTCCACATCTACAGCCCTGCAAGAAATGTAAGGCAAGACCTAATGGCGAAGCGGCATCGCGTCTCCTAAACTTGCAGAACCTCTCTGATAGATGAAGAAGTCCCCGGTTCGAACCCGGGTTAGGTCGTAGCCAAGAAGTCCATTCTTTTCAATCCAATTCCTTTTTACACCTCCGCGCGCTTCAGCCCTTTACCTCCGAGTCAGTGTCAATAGTCACCCGCCCGTCCTGGGTCTGCAAACTGACGCGTCGCGCAGATGAACCATTGTTCGGGGGGTTTTTTCGGTGCTCGCTGAGCTCAAATAAATCACTGCGGGCACCACCAATTAAAAACCAAGCGAAATCCAGTGGGTGGTGAAGGGTATCATATCCACACGTCATAAACCCACCGCCATGTAGGTACCGGAAGGTCATGGTTCGAATCCAGGCTAGGCCATGGATAGTCGAAGCGGAGCTCTCTTTTTTCTTTGCTCCACTGCTGATCTGAGGAACGTTGCTCCTCTCTGTCTCTTTCTCTCTCCTTGATTCACCAAACTAGCTGTTCAGATGACGGGTGTCTCCCATGCTCACTCCTCGCGGATCCGACGTGAATGTATGAATCACAGGACATCGGAGTAGGAATAAGACCTGGTGGCGGAGGGTATCGCATGTGCACTCAGTATTTGCACTATTTTCACTGGTCTACAGAAGGTCCTGGCTCGACTCCAGGCTAGGTCATGGTCTAGAGAAGAGCATTTTTTCTCCGCTTCGCATTACAGTGTTTGAGTTTAAATTTCTCGCTCCGATTTTACTCCGACAGAATCAGAGCGCCTAATGTACTGAGTGCGATTTCACATCGTGGTCAGTGGCGGACTCGAGGACGAGATTAAGACAAGGTTTGATTTAGGAGGAATAAGACCTGGTGGTGAAGGGTCTCACATCCGCACTCTGTACGAAAATCAGCATTTCTGCGGAAGGCCCTGGTTCGACTCCAGGCTAGGTCGTAGTCCGTGATCAAAGCAATTTTTTAATGTCGCTCTGCAATACACAATCCATACAGTGTTCCTGGACCCAATTTGATCGAGCAGGATTCCAACAAGCAGATATGATTTTACGATTTTACACTAGAGTCGCCGCAGCCTCAAGGCCTCAAGAATAAACAGGGTTCAATTTGAGTGGAATAAGACCTGGTGGTGGAGGGTATCACATCCGCACTCAGTGAAGAATAAATCTAACTGGCATTTCTGCGGAAGTCCCTGGTTCGAATCCAGGCTAGGTCGTGTTCCGTGATCTGATCTGAACAATTTTTTAACGTCGCTCTGCAATACGCACACACACGGTCTTCCTGCACCCAATTTTGATCGAGCCAGAATTCCAACAGTAGATATCACACTGTAAGATGTTACGATTTTACACTAGAGTCTGCTGCAGCCTCAAGGCCTCAAGGATAAACAGGGTTCAATTTGGGTGGAATAAGACCTGGTGGTGAAGGGTATCACATCCCCACTCAGTAATGGGTTACTTTAAGAGGTATTTCTGCGGAAGTCCCTGGTTCGACTCCAGGCTAGGTCGTGATCCATGATGGGGACAAATTTTTAACGTCGCTCTGCAATACACAATACATACAGTGTTCCTGGACCCAATTTTGATCGAGCCAGGATTCCAACAAGCAAATATCACACTGTGCAATTTTACGATTTTACACTAGAGTCTCAGTCTGGCTGCACCCTCAAGGATAAACAGGGTTCAATTTGGGTGGAATAAGACCTGGTAGTGAAGGGTATCACATCCGCACTCATTAATGGATGCAGCTCATGGGCATTTCTGCGGAAGGTCCTGGTTCGACTCCAGGCTAGGTCGTGTTCCGTGATCTGAACAATTTTTAACGTCGCTCTGCAATACAGACACACGGTCTTCCTGCACCTAATTTTGATCGAGCCAGGATCCCAACAAACAGATACCACACTGTACAATTTTATGATTTTACACTAGTCTGCCGCAGCCTCACTAACAGACTTCAATTTGGTTGAATGAGACCTGGTGGTGAAGGGCATCACATCCACACTCAGTGAATAAATAATGAATCGGATGAGCATTTCTGCGGAAGTCCCTGGTTCGAATCCAGGCTAGGTCGTAGTCTCATTTTTCCCTGCAGCTTCGGGTCTGGTGTCAATCTCCATGCGCAGCAGATGGCCTTGGAAATTCTGAACCTGGCCCATTGAATTTGGTTGCGAGCAAACATTGATTGCAGTGAGACAAGGTTCAATTCAGTAGGGATAAGACCTGGTGGTGAAAGGTATCCCATCCACACTCGGTAATCATCGGATGTTGTATACATCTGCTGAAGGCCCTGGTTCGAATCCAGGCTAGGTCGTGTCACTCCCAGACCCGAATTTTTTAAAACTCCATGTAAGACCTTCTAGCGCTTCAAGTTTACTCGATCTCTGTCTTGTCGTCATCGTGCAAGTGTCTCTGATCTACAGCACAAGTGGCAGGTCATAGCAGAGTATGAGGTTCCCCTCAATAGGCATGGCCCCTCTTTGCGCACCGCTATGAGCCAGAGCGAGGGGCTTTATCTTTCCAGTGTATTATTGGTACATTTAGTGGTAAGACCTGTGGTGAAGGATATCACATTCACATTATATGCATGAATTTATTTCAAGATACCTTGTGTGGAAGTCCCTCGTTCAAATCCAAGCTAGGTCGTTGTTTTGCTCCACTGATTTTTTTTTCGGGGTGTAGCATCCATCCTGCGTCCGGTGTGAATCTCCAGTGAGCCATTCAGAGAATTCCGATCCAGGCATCTTACACCAATCCATTGTTTTGAATTTGGTTGGGAAAGGAAAGACGAGGTTCAATTTGGTAGGAGTAAGATCTGGTGGTGAAGGGTATTACATCCGCATTATATATATGAATCACAATACGCTTATGTGGAAGTCCCTGGTTCGACTCCAAGCTAGGTCGTTGCCCTGCTCCAGCAATTTTTTTTCAGTGCTAGCTGTTCAGATGAACGGATGTCTCCCGTGCTCACTCGTTACATATCCAACTTGAATGTATGAATAACAGGACATCGGAGTGGGAATAAGACCTGGTGGTGGAGGGTATCACACCTGCACTCAGTAAATAGGCCATATTCATCTGTCTGCAGAAGCTCCTGGTTCGACTCCAGGCTAGGTCATGGCCAATCGAAGCAATTTTTTAATGTCGCTCTGCAATGCACAATACATACAGCGTTTCTGGACCCAATCTTGATCGAGCCAGGATTCCAACAAGCCGATATCACACTGTGTGATTTTACGATTTTACATTAGAGTCTCAGTCTAGCCGCAGCCTCAAGAATAGACACTAACAGGGTTCAATTTGGTTGGAATATGACCTGGTGGTGAGGGGTATCACATCCGCACTCAGAACATATACTATGTTCATTTGTTTGTGGAGGGTCCTGGTTCGATTCCAGGCTAAGTAGGTCATGGCCGATCGAAGCAATTTTTTAACGTCGCTCTGCAATACACAATACACACAGTGTTTCTGGACCCAATCTTGATCGAGCCAGGATTCCAACAAACAGATATCACACTGAGATTTTACGATTTTACACTAGAGTCTCAGTCTGACCGCAGCCTCAAAAATAAACAGTGTTCAATTGGGTTGGAATGAGACCTGGTGGAGAAGGGTATCACATCCGCACTCAGTGAATAAATAATGAATCGGATGAGCATTTCTGCAGAAGTCCCTGGTTCGAATCCAGGCCAGGTCGTAGTCTCTCATTTTTCTCTGCAGCTGCGGGTCTAGTGCCAATCTCCATGCACAGCAGATGGCCTTGGAAATTCTGAACCTGGCCCATTGAATTTGGTTGCGAGCAAACATTGATTGCAGTGAGACAAGGTTCTATTCAGTAGGGATAAGACCCAGTGAGAACGCCCTCTGGGCAGGTATGCTCAAATGTGCTCAAATATGGTTCATGTGATGTGATCTGTGCTGCTCACATTGAAATGTCAAGATATGTTACCAATATGTTACAATACTTTGAATTTTTGGTTCGGAACCCTCCAATCCAATTTCAGAGCGCAGAATTGAGCAAATCGACTTGGCGCAATTCCGGACTTTGACTTGAAGCGGATCAATGCGGTCATACCGCGCGGGAACGCGCGTCGGAGTCCGAAATGCCTCTTGTTCTCGTACCACCACCATCTCCCTTCCCGCCATCGCCTTCCATCGCCCCTCGTCCTCCTCCGTTTCCCTCCTCCCCTTCCCCGACTGCTGACTGAGTCTCTCCGCGAGCAGTCGGTTCTAGTCCGTGCACGGACACTTTCAGGTTCGCGACGTAGCGGACGTCCAAGGTGTGTGCCTATTCTTTGTCGTGTCATCGTGAACTTACGGCGCACGCATGCGACGGTCAGGATACGTGCACTCGCGCATCCTGCGCGCGCTTAAGACGCGCAACGACGGAAAGCACGACAACACGGAGGGGTAGAGAGGCGCGCGGGCTGACGCGGTGCGCCAGCTTCTCCTTTCCCCACTCCCTTGCTGACCTACTGCGCTCAGTCAAGTCACCCGCACTGCCCAAAACAGTGGCCATGGACATCCACCCCAGAAAACGACGCGCGCACTCGACATGCAGTCCGCGCAGGCGGATATTTCCATCTCAACATCATGCTGATACACTACCCAGGGCGCGCACCCCCCCAACTTTTACACCTACTCCTGCTCGACACGCCACAACGTAGTCCGCTGGATCTCCCTGCCTTGGACGTCGATGCGCGCACACGCCCATGCATCGTGAGCACGGTCAAGCGCAGCACAAGCAACTGTGAAGAGCGCGGCGGCGCGGAAGGTAAAGGCACGCCCGGGCTTTCACGGTGCGCCCGCCTTTCCCTCTTTTCCTATCCCCTTGCGCACGCCGCTGGGGAAATTGATTGCAATGCACGATGCGCGCGCTTGAGACGACCACCGCGCGCAGGTGGTGCGCATGCTCTTTTTCATCTTAGCCTCCAGCTGATCAGGTGACAGCATGCGCACGCACACACCTCCCGACGTCTACGCCCCCGCGCGCTCGACACGCCCCCAAGTCATGCGCTCATCAGGACCATGGCTATCTACGTGCAGGTGCGTGACCATCCCCTTTTCGTCTGCTCGAGCTAACAAGTCTATGCAGTGTGTACCGCCAGCGCGCCCGCTCCCCCCGCCCGGTTGCACTCCACGTTCCAACTCCGCGCGTCATCGCGTACCACGAAGAGTGTCTCGACAGCCATCGATGAAGACGACGGAGACGCGGCGAGCAAGGATGAAGGAGACGCGGCGAGCGAGGATGGCGAAGACGGCGCGAGGTCGTATCCGAGTTTCATTGTACCATATTTTGTATGCTGTAGCAATTTGAAATGCAATTTATGTCAGAATCTAGTAAAAGGACAAGCGGAACGTATCAGAGCATATGAGGGCATACCTGAGCAGATCTAGACTGAGATTTTGTCCAGATTCTACACTTATATGTGCTGATTGATGTTCTGATATGGGTTGTTTTAGCAGCACTTATTTGCGCACATTTGAACATACCTGCCCAGACGTGTTCTCACTGGGGATAAGACCTGGTGGTGAAAGGTATCACATCCACACTCGGTAATCATCGGATGTTGCATACATCTACTGGAGGCCCTGGTTCGAATCCAGGCTAGGTCATGACATTTCCAGATGCAATTTTTTAAAACCCCATGTAGGATCTTCTAGTGCTTCAAGTTTACTCGATCTCTGTCTTGTCGTCATTGTGCAGGTGCCTCTGATCTGCAGCACAAGTGGCAGATCACAGCAAAATATGAGGTTCAACTCAGTAAGTATTGTGAGACTTGGTGGTGAAGGGTACATCCGCATTACATGCATGAATTTCACAATAACTTGTATGGAAGTACCTGGTTCGAATCCAGGCGAGATCGTCGTCTTGCTCGACTGATTTTTCTTTTCGGGGTGTAACATCCTGCGTCTGGTGCGAATCTCGAGTGAGCCCCTCAGATAATTCCGATCCAGGCATCTCACACCAATTTACTGTTTTGAATTTGGCTGGGAACAGGTTCAACTGGTGGGAGTAAGGCCTGTTGGTGAAGGGTCTCTGCCGTTGATAGTGTCGAAGCCACAAATGGATCTGCGGAAGACGCTGGTTCGAATCCAGGCTAGGGGTTCGTTGTGTTTTTCTTTCTTTCCCGGCATCTCACACCATGTCGAGTGTAAATTTGCTTGTGAGTGTTTACTGCAGCGAGACACACTTGAGCTCAGTGGGGCTGAGACCTGG